AAACTGTAAGCGCTTCATGATGCAAAGGGTCTTCTTTTTGCGAACGCGCAGTCCTTAGTATACGAATAATCTAAAAATAGGTTCATATTGTAGATACGTAAGCTTATTTGGAAGATGTTAGTGATAATTGTTAGATAATTATGTGTGCTTACTTTATACATTAAAATGGGATCATAGTGTAGTGATGGACCTAACAATACCAGGGCAGGAATCACTGTTTCCTTCATGTCCTCAAATGTCTTACATGCTTGAGGTGCCAGAGTTGACTTGAGGGGTGGAATTGGCTTTCCTATTATTTTTGGGGCAACGCGACAGTTACTGAAAATAACACGACAATGAGTATTTCTTACTATAATTCTTATTATTAACAATATTCTTTGTTTATAATACATACTTTCTGTACAGTGGCTCTACGAGAGCATGTAGCATGTTGCAGAGCGCGACAGCGGGTCGTTGTGGCATAATGTTAGTGGGCAGTCGGGCTGACAGGGCTGCGAACTCACGCCATGCATTCACCTTCAATAATGCTTCACATAACACCAACTTTTGGTTGCTCCAGTATTCCTAATGTGTTAGAAAAATAACTCAATGTATAAATACATATCAAATCGCATACATGAATGACTATTTATAAACTTAGAATAAATTAAAGAAAATACAATATATACCTGGGGATCAGATTTTTCTTCAACATATTCTGTAGCTCCATTGACTTGTGGCCCCTTAGTGGACACAATGCTTAATTTACGAATGTAGTCTTGGACTGTTTTTAACTCCTTATCTGCCTCTTTTGCCATTATAGAATCATCAGGTCTGAGCTAAAATATTTATTAATGACTTTAGTAATAATTTTGTAACATATAAAAAAGTAATAAAGATATATATACTATCCCAACATTTATTATGCACACATCTGATTATTGGCATGTGTCGGCACTATTTATCAATTTAAAAATATTTTGATGGCACATGTTATATGAAGGGTGCAATGAAGAGAATACTAACGAGTAGTAAGCTGACTTAAAATACCAAATATTTACTGACAAAGAAAACATCAAGCATTTGAACAGAAACAGTACAAAAGAGGAAATATGTTATTATAAGTTAAATATTATTTGATGTGCTTCGAAATTGACTATAGGATTTTTTGATTATATGGAATACCCTGGTTTTATTCGATCCAGGTAATCCAGATTCAATTGTGTATAAATGGTTGCCATCATGAGCACATGGGTGCCAAGTACATGTTGCGGTTTCTATTGCAGTAAATACATATGCTTATTATGTGGGACTCATAGTCATGTTTCAGTTTGTAATTGCTCCTAAATAGTTGTTGAGAATCAATAAGTATATAAATACTTACCCAGGGATAGATGTCATCAAGAGAAATGACTTGGTGCTGTAGCAGTAAAGCTATGACTGTCATCAATGGTGGAGGTTCCTTGTAATTCTCTAGTACTTCCATATTCCCTAATTTAAAGCCCAAAACTTCAGAAATCACTTGAGGATCACCCATATAATTTTTTATAAGAGGTATAAACAATTGATCAGAGTGTGTTCGGGCCTCAAATGATTCTAGAATTATATCTAAAGCTCTGTTTGGGTCTAAGTTGAAACAACCTAAAACAAAGTAAAATAAAATTATTGTAAACTGAAATTGCTGTATCACCTAAATCAACAACTCATTAGAAGTAAGACTTACCTATAAGAGACTGAATTATTTCGAGTAAACTTTTCCAATCTGCCTTATCAACACCTTCATGATTTAATTCCACAATTAACTTGGAATACCCTTCACTTTCTTCTCTAAACAAATTAAACTTACGTTGCTTATAACTGAAATAAAAATTAAGTACTTAATATAAGTGTAATCAATACAAAGTTACATCTTTTTCCAGACCTAAACTCGGAAATAAATATAAATACAAACAGATAATAAATACTTACTACAACTTAGTCTTGATTTTAATAAATTTGGTATAAAATAGTTTATTCTTCAAAGTACCAGCATCTTGCAATGTATCTATTTCTAATCTTTCTTTTAAAAGTTTATCTGATATAAAAGACTCCAATTCCCTAACAATGTAGCAAAAGTTTGTGCGCTCTTCACTTTGGACATCAGTACAGGTCTCAGCATCAAGCACACTCACTACATCTAAAATCACTGATGGTATATCTGCATGCAATACCTACAAAAATATAACTCATTAGTACATATCATTCAGCATCCTGAATGACTTGCAGATAAAAATGTTTATTTAATTACAAAACTATAAAACTTACTGTTATTTCACGAAGAACGGAAAGAACAGCTTCTTTCTTAAGATTCCCACGTAGACCACAGAGTAATAAGTCATATATGGTCTGAGATAAACCAGAAAGCTTGCCGGATTTAGTAAAAAGTGGACTTTTGTCTTCATCCTTAATGAATTGCGTCACATGTTTAACACTGAAAGTATGCAAATTATTATATCCTCAATAAAACTAAAATCCATGATTATAAAGACAATGACTTGAGCAAGTGTGGTGATTGATTCTCAAACTTTCTCCGTGTGAGAAGAGGCCTTTGCTAAGCAGTGGCCACTTAAAAATTGATGAAGTGGTGATGTGAGAAAAAGTTAATAAGCAGTTGCAATAGAAGATGCCTATAAATACTTTTTGTTTGTAGTAAGCATCAAAGCAAATTAATATTAACTTGTCTTTTTAAACATCTAATGTAATCAAAATGAAAAAAATAAAGTGGTTAATATAATAATACTGTACTGTTTCAATATGTATGTTACTTATTTTATCAAAGCAGTGCAGAACTTATCTATTGCTAATAATATTTAGAATAGGATTTAGGAGAATAGGAGTTCAAATATCATTCTTTAACTAGTAAATGAAATAAACATACCAAGTTCTTAACACATCTATGTTAAGTCTGCTACCAGTTCACTTTTATATCATAAGTGATAAATAATAATACTACATGCTAAAGTAATGAAGACTGAAATTGCTCATACACTTCATTTTTAACTTCTGTGATAGAAGATACCTTCATTCATTACTTCAGCATGTGCAAAATTAAATATCAGAGTTCCATATATATTTATGTATAGAAAAAGTCCTTATCTAGCAAATTCATATCAGGGCATTTTGTCATCTTGTCGTGATCTTTATATAAGCATTTGTAACGATACTGATATTATTTGGTAATATTAAATTACTAGACAACAGACACAAATCACCACTATTGTTAAACAAAATTAAATATGAAACTCACAGTTGCTCCTTTCCAGATTTCTCCCAAGTTTTACAGTAATCGGAAACAAATTTCGCATATGATCCCATGATTGAGATCGGACTCGGAAGAATATTATAAATCCCAGTCAACTTAGAATATTTCAGCAAAGCAAAGCGCACGCTGTCGCCATGATTGATTTGATATTTGATTGGTGTTTTTTTTTACGCAGGCACAGGCAACGTACAATTATTATGGACTTCACAGTTGGCATTTGGCATTTTTGGCTAACGATATTTACAAATTATTTTTTGTTGTATGTATGAATAGGTAGGTTTGAATGTATGAATAGATTGTTTTTTGGCGAAACGCCTCAATTTTATATGTTAGGTCTAACTTCTTCTAACCTGAGAACTCGGTTAAAGTTTTATACAACACATTTTTAATGGTCTTTGCTTCTCATTCAAAGTTAAGGCACAAATATCTCTATACTCTCATTTACTTTTCTATGGTCTAAAATGTCACTGTCACAGTGACAATAAATGACAAGTGTCAAATATGAACTTAACCTAAAATTAAAATAGTAAATTAGTATTTTTCCCGGATAATAATTACCATTTAATTGGATATATTAAAATGCCGACATACGAAGTAGCTTTAATGTTACGTTCTATGCCTAAACCGGAGCTTAAAACAACTCTTAAGCGAATTTCCCATGCAATATTTGACCGAGGTGGTGTAATTAGAAACATAGAAAACTTGGGACATAGACCTATGCCTTACAAAACGACTGCTCATGGACTCGTCAACAAAGAGGCGAATTATTTTGTTTTTAAAATTGATACAGCAACAAAAGCAGTTGCTGATCTAAAAGAAGAATATAGTAGAGATGTGGATGTTATAAGACAACGTGTTTTCAAAAGTGAAGAAAGTTGCAGCAACCATTGTACCCTAGAAGAGGAACTTCTGCCTCCTGCTTACCGCGATGAGGTTAAGAAGATGATTGAAGTGGGAAAAACACAAGTAAATCGTTTTACTTACAAATTTAAGTACAATTCTGGCTTGGATTATTATCCATTCCAGAAGTGAATACATCTAATAGGTAGTAGTGTTTAATTGTTATTATAGTGTAGTAGACTTTAGTTATAATTTTACCAATAAATATTTATAAGTGTTAAAAATGATATTTTTATTCATTCTACTAATCATTTGATTCAATGCCTACTGGAAGAGAAAGTTTCATTGATGTTACATTGTTTTTTGACATATCATCTGAAAATTCTATACGAAACTAAAAATGTTTTACAAATGGAGATATTATGTCCTTATCAAATTGGGCTTCAAGGAACAGGTGCATAGAATACCAGCACATAGTAGAAGGTATTGCTCCCAAAATTATTGTAATTCAAGAATAGAAGAGGCATTAAACATACAAATTAAAGCAGAACAGCAAGCCAGCCAGAATTATTTAAATATGGCGGTAACCTTTCTGCATCCTTCGAAATCAATGATAGGTGCTGGTGGATTCTTTATGAAAATGTATTATGATGAACTAGAGCACATGCACAAACTCATAAATTATCAGTTGTTACGAGGCGGTGTTCCTTTAATATCAGGCCTTGAGCCACCAAACAAACATAAAAATCTTACTATGCTTGATGCTTTTAAACTAGGCATACATATGGAAAGAGATTTAACTATAGTAAGTAAAATAAAAAATTAACTTCTCAACAATTATAGGTATAATATTCATTGGAAATACACACTGAACATTAATCTTTCTTTGTCTAATTCTCTAGCTTATAGAAAAAGGAATAAAACTTGCAGAGGAAGTCAAGGATTATCATTATGCAGATTTTATTACATCTGCATTTTTGACTGACCAAATCCAATCAATATATGAGTTGGATCAACACGCAACCAACTTAACCACATTGAAATGCAATGATGCTTTTCTGCTTCTATATGACATGGAACTACAAAAAAAATATCCGCTACCACATGACATAAAAAAATCCATTAAATAAAATAAGTAAATACAAATACAACACCCATATATTTATTATAATATTATATTATACACATAATCCTAAAAGTATATTTTAAGGTTTTATTCTTTTAGGACACATTTTTTGAGAGTATTTTAAAAATATCATCCACTTTACATTCTTTCAGAGCTGTTTCAAGCTTAGTACTTTCATTATTAAAGTTTTCAAGTAAGGATAGTGTCCGCCAGTCCAAATACCATTGTAATATTGTCTCTGTAAACATAAATTATTTTTTAATGTACTACAATAAATAAAAAGTAAAACAACCATAATATCAATTCTCTGAACTTACTGAATTGTTGAATTTTCTGAAAACATTTTTATATACCTATGTGGTTATTATGAACTCACCTACAAGTTCCTCAAATTGAGTTTCATTTATACTTTCTCTAGAATCCCAAACTCTAGCATAGTCTTGACACAGTATGGGACCTTCCTCATTCATTGAACTATCCAAATCCAACATGCTGAAATGTTTTGGAAACTTTCTTATTAATTTCGTGTCTATGTACCAGAGGATACCTAACAGGCAGCACTTGCTAAAAATACAATTTGACAAGGTTTTTATATAATATTGCTTACCTGATAGCATTTTTCAAAATGATATCTTTACTTTTTTTATATTCTTGTTTAAATTTATTTTCCAACTGTTTAAAAGATATTAAACAACAATTATCTGGAATATCTGCAAGTTAAAAATGCTTTTTAAATGCGGTCTGATTGATGATGATTTCATGTATCCGAAACAAAAGCAAATTTCCCGCACTTTTTAAATTTAAGATGGGTAGATGGACTTACCACAAGACATTTCCACACGAATGCTTTTCTCGACGGAGCAGTTCGACACTATGTTTCGAATAGTGGCTATGGTAGACACATTATCTGATTTGAACTTCGCGTGCCCTCGTCTGCAAGATAAGTCGAGCGTAGTAATTAATAGTCGTATTCTTTTTAGAAAATTTTGAGTAAAAATTAAAAATTATTTCGAATTTCGACAACTCACTCGTATTGACAAACTAGAACGGTGTCCAGAAGAGTATGTGATCGGGTAAATGATACATTCGAAGCTGGTCTGGGTAATTCACCCGGAAGTACTTCTGTTAGCCAAGAAGTCATTTCAGCTACGGAGAAGTTACCCGAGACCTCAAGTTGGCACCACGCCCTATAAAGATTGCATGTAAGAAAGCTGAAATGCTGAATCGACAATTTCTATTATCCGAAAAAATACCTTTCTTCTTTTTCGACTGCTTCGTGGCTCGAATAGTATGGCAAAGCTGGTAGTTTCAAAGTTACTAGTCGAGCCACCCTAGGAGCACCTGCTGGTAAAGCGTATATCAATACTCGAGTTCCCTCTAATTTTGACTCTGTAGAGGAATTTGAAATTTCACGCATTTTTACCCAAACCCTCCTTGTTCCTGCTTGACATCTTACTGAAGCCAGCAAATCGGATCCAGCCTCCTAAAACATTAAAACTTTTAATCTACCTATGTAAATAGTCTCATTCTTCTGCTTTTTTAGCTGGTTGGTATGTACCTACGTTGCAGTTACTGCATAGCACAATGTTTATATCCATTCTGTTATCAGACCTTAACTCATTACATGTGTAGCCGCACCTCACGACTACATACCTACCAATACCATATTCAAAACCATGTACCAATTTACCTTATATATTTACCTTACCGATACCATCGAATACCTTACCGATACCATCGAATACCTTACCATACCTCAAAACCAGATACCATATACCTTCCACATACAAACGTTTTTAGACTTTCCGTTATCAACAGAAACATGATAACAATTGTCTTGAAAAAGACAGTTTTAAACGTTTTTGACTGTGTTAACATGAAACGATAAATATTGTCTTGAAAAAGACAGTAAACGTTTTAGACTCTGCCAGAAACAATTATTTCGGCCCGGCGTAATACGCCGTGCCGAGCGTAGTCGCTTCGAAAGAAGCGGTTTGTTATTAGCAAGCATCGCTAGCGGAGCCGGAGGCGGAGCACCTGCACCCGCCGCGTCTTCAATGTTCACACGTACTGCACTCGACGATGGCGCGCGGCGAAATGTCGCGCTCTCGGCGCGCGACCCTTTTATATGCAAACGAGAGATAGCGGCGGCCCTCGCCCCGCGCGGCCCGCGCTCGCCGGCGCGTCGCCATTGGTCAACACATACCTAACGGCGCGCGATATGGTTTTGATGTGTAATTGTAAATATAGATATAAGTAGCAATAATTAGCGAAATAAATCATTCCGAAACACGCACCTCAACGAGTATCATTTACAAGAAGAACCTTCTCGTAGGACAACTAGGCTCTCCTACCTAGTTCCTACAGTGGTGACCCCGACGTGATATTATCGACGCAATCCTGCCGACGGATCCCTGCAAGAATCGCCTTGTACCTTATCAAGCCCGTCGTAATGTCGGTCGAAAAAATGCCGGAACTTTCGAGCGTTTCGACGTCGCTGCGCATCCCACCCATATGGCGCGACAAAATACGCCTATGGTTTGCTCAGTTTGAAGCAATAATGTCGCCACAGAAGAAGGGCGACCAAGCCATGTTCGAGCTCGTCGTCGGACACCTGGAACGACAAGACCTCGACGAAATCAGCGACATTATTCTTCACCCACCCGAGAGAGAACGCTACGAAGCTCTGAAAAACCGATTACTCCAGGTCTACGAAGAATCAGAGCAACGTCAAGTACAACGGCTTCTCTCAGAGATGGAGCTAGGCGACCTAAAACCATCTCAGTTACTTCGCCGAATGAAAAATCTCGCCGCGGATAACATATCCGACGCTGCACTTCGCATCATGTGGACCAATCACCTGCCACAGTCTGTACGTGCAGTCCTCGCTGTCAGCGATAACATCGCGAAGTACTCAGATATCCACGATCTGGCGATGATGGCAGACAAGATCCTCGAGCAGACGCAACCCCATGGTACAGTCGCCGCTGTCACTGAAAACCCCACATTCCCCCGTGTACATGCAAGTATCGAAGACAAGATCGATATGCTGACGAGGGAAATCGCTGAACTTAAAGCAGCGCAGTCAAGTCATCGTTGCAACCATCAATCACGACGACCCCAAAGGTCACGATCGTCGAGCCGATATCGTCCCCACCCCAGACAGCGTGACAACACTCCACGCCGCACAGAATCTGGTATTTGTTATTACTACCGCAAGTTCGGGAAGGAGGCACAGCGATGCACACGTCCATGCAATTTCCAGAACAACAGCCCCCACCCGGAAAACTAACAGCTGCGTTGGATGAGGCGGGAACCGGCGCAACAACTACGTCATACCGCCTATTTATAACAGACAGAAACTCACGTCTGTCATTTCTAATTGATACTGGCGCTAACGTCTCCGTCATTCCTAGACGAAAGGGCGTGAAGGTAACCCCAACCGATTTTTGTTTGTACGCTGCAAACAACACAGTTATCCCTACCTACGGTGAGAAGACACTCCAGCTAGACCTAAAACTACGACGACCATACAGTTGGAAATTCATCGTTGCTGAGGTCAGTAAGCCAATCATCGGCGCCGACTTCCTACGCCACCACCAACTACTCGTCGACATAGCCGGTCGATGTCTTATCGACAAAGTCACCAACCTCACCGTCCAAGCCCCAATCTCATATTCCACCGAGCCAACTGTAAGAAGCATAGACGTCGAACAGCCGTATCATCAAATACTTAGTCAATATCCAGACATCCTACGACCATCATGCATGAAGACCACTCCGAAGCACCGCGTGGAACATTACATTGAAACCACCGGTCCACCTGTACACAGTAAAACGCGGCCACTACCTCCACACAGATACCTAGCCGTGAAGAAAGAATTCGAAATTATGATGCAGCAGGGATTATGCCGTCCAAGCAAAAGTCCCTGGTCCAGCCCACTACACGTCGTACCAAAGAAGAATGGTGACATACGTGTATGCGGTGATTACCGACGACTTAATGACGTCACTAAGCCCGACCGCTATCCAGTACCTCGCCTTAAAGATTTCACATACCTACTCCACGGCAAGAAGATTTTTACCACTCTCGATTTGAATCGTGCATACCAACAGTTACCTGTCTACGAACCTGACATAGAAAAAACAGCCATCACAACCCCGTTTGGTTTGTTTGAGTTTCCCCGAATGTGTCCAGGATTAAAAAACGCGGGACAAACATTCCAACGGTTCATTCACCAAGTACTCAACAATCTAGACTTCGCATTTCCGTTTATTGATGACGTAATCATCGCATCAGAGAACAAAGCACGTCACATCGAAGACCTACAAGAAGTGCTTCGAAGATTAAATGATTACGGTATCACCATAAATCCATCTAAATGTGTCTTCGGCCAAGATAACGTAAAGTTCCTGGGATATCAAGTGTCGAGCGAAGGAATCAAACCTCCACTTGAAAAGGTCAGCGCTATCTCTGCTTATCCCAAACCGGAAACAATAGCGGATCTACGTCGTTTTCTTGGCATGGTAAACTTTTACCGTGACAGCATACATAACGCAGCCCATATACAAGCACCGCTAAACGCATTTCTACATAACTCAAAGAAACGCGACAAAACCAAAATCGAATGGAATAACGAAGCACTACAAGCATTTGAGTTGTGTAAAGCTAGCATACAAAACGCAGCCTTACTCGCTCACCCATGCCCGTCACCAACTCAACCTATTTCACTCATGTGTGACGCTTCAAACACCTGTGCAGGAGCTGTCCTTCAACAATACATAAAAAACAAGTGGGTTCCCCTTGGCTACTTTTCAAAGAAATTCTCTGAAGCTCAACAACGATATAGTACGTTTGACCGCGAATTACTATCTATATACATGGCGATCAAACATTTTAGAAAAATGTTCGAAGGAAGAGAACTCATTGTATACACGGATCACAAGCCGCTCACCTATGCAATACGTAAGCCGCCGTCGGACAACGACACACAACGACGCACTCGTCAGCTATTATTCATTAGTGAGTTTACAACCGACCTACGTCACGTGAGTGGCGCGAACAACATAGTCGCCGACGCACTATCACGCGTCGAAACTATCGACTTACCATCCCCAATTAACTACGACGAACTATCCCAAGCACAAGAAAAGGACAGCAATATTCCCAACTTAATAAAACAAACAAACATTCAGCTTAAGAAAATATCTATACCTACTTCAAACAAGTTTATATACTGCGAAGTATCGACGCCTCACGTTCGCCCGTACTTACCGATTGACTATCGTCGCATCGCATTCAACGCCGTGCACAATACAAGTCATCCTGGCATACGAACTACACGCAAACTAATGCAACAACGATACTTCTGGCCGTCTATGAATACCGACATTGGCGAGTGGGCAAAGACATGCATCGAGTGTCAACAATCAAAGGTACATCGACATACGCACAGTGACGTCACATCATTCCCACCCAGCGAGCGATTTGAACACATACACATTGATATCGTTGGACCTCTGCCTACATCCTCGAGCGGACATCGATACCTACTCACTATGATCGACCGCTGCACCCGCTGGGCTGAAGCCGTTCCCCTGCGAGAGATATCAGCCGAAGTCGTCGCAAGAAAGCTGTACGAAGCATGGATAACACGTTTTGGTTGTCCTATCAAAATCACAACAGATCAAGGACGACAGTTCGAGAGCAGCTTATTTAAAAATCTCGCTCAGCTACTGGGAGTGGAACGAACTCGTACTACTGCCTACCACCCGCAGAGTAACGGGATCGTAGAACGCTGGCATCGTACATTAAAAGCCGCGCTCATGACTCGACTAGCCGACAACAACAAATGGTTGATCGAGTTACCTACCGTGCTACTAGGACTACGAGCCGCCACGCGCACCGACACTAACACTAGCGCCGCACAACTTACCTACGGACAAGCAATACGATTGCCAGGCGATTTTATATCGCCGTCGCCTACCAACACGAAGATGGATAACGACTACGTAGCCGACTTGCATCGTGTTATCACAAGCTTAACGCCCGCTTATCAGTCGCACACTAACCGACTTAGCATCTTCGTGCATAAAGACCTGCAAACATGCAACCACGTATTTGTACGTGACGACGCAGTTCGCAAACCACTGCAACGTCCATACAAAGGCCCGTACCTAGTTACCTACAGAAACGACAAGTACTTTACAATACAAACACCTAGAGGTACCACCAACGTGTCAATCGAGCGTCTAAAGCCGGCCTACGTCATTAACAATGATAACTCAGAACACTGTGCAACTCCACCAGCGACTACCCAGGATCAACCTAGTGAACCTCCGTCGAGCGACAGCCATGTACGAAGAACGCGAACAGGCAGAATAATCAAGACCCCAGTACGCTTCGCTCGGGGGGGAGTACTGTAGCCGCACCTCACGACTACATACCTACCAATACCATATTCAAAACCATGTACCAATTTACCTTATATATTTACCTTACCGATACCATCGAATACCTTACCGATACCATCGAATACCTTACCATACCTCAAAACCAGATACCATATACCTTCCACATACAAACGTTTTTAGACTTTCCGTTATCAACAGAAACATGATAACAATTGTCTTGAAAAAGACAGTTTTAAACGTTTTTGACTGTGTTAACATGAAACGATAAATATTGTCTTGAAAAAGACAGTAAACGTTTTAGACTCTGCCAGAAACAATTATTTCGGCCCGGCGTAATACGCCGTGCCGAGCGTAGTCGCTTCGAAAGAAGCGGTTTGTTATTAGCAAGCATCGCTAGCGGAGCCGGAGGCGGAGCACCTGCACCCGCCGCGTCTTCAATGTTCACACGTACTGCACTCGACGATGGCGCGCGGCGAAATGTCGCGCTCTCGGCGCGCGACCCTTTTATATGCAAACGAGAGATAGCGGCGGCCCTCGCCCCGCGCGGCCCGCGCTCGCCGGCGCGTCGCCATTGGTCAACACATACCTAACGGCGCGCGATATGGTTTTGATGTGTAATTGTAAATATAGATATAAGTAGCAATAATTAGCGAAATAAATCATTCCGAAACACGCACCTCAACGAGTATCATTTACAAGAAGAACCTTCTCGTAGGACAACTAGGCTCTCCTACCTAGTTCCTACACATGCATTATTATTATCCAAAGATTGATATTTTTTTCGGTACGAGAAAAACAATTAGTTTTTTTATAATTGTCACATTCCTCTACGACGCTCTAATCGTCTGCATTGCATGTAATAAGTATTTTTTCAAATATTTGTTCTTCTTTTTCTTATTCTAACACTTTAATTATCGAATGGGAGAAATAATGCATTAAGTATCAATCTAATTACATTACCTACCTTAGATGAACATATGCTTAGGACTGCAGCAGTGTCGGTTTGCATTGCCAATTTTTTATTAGAATTGATAAATAGCATATCAAGAGGCACTGCTGAGGTTATTCTCACTTCTTGCCATCCATCATTTGTTGCTCCCAACAGCTGCGAAAATAATTAGATACACGAAGTAAGTGTGAATCTAAATGATATACCTACAATTTGTATTTTTATATGGCTAGATGTTAAAGAAATGTAGGTACTTCGTATTGTATATCCAGAAGAGGTGGAGTTGATAACCCAGCATGTAAAGATCGAGTATTACGTTGATATTTTTCTCTTTCATTTGCAGTTTGTTTCTCCAAACGTGCTACTTCCACCCTGATAAAAATTAAAAAAGGTACTTAAATCCCAATTTTTTTGTATGGCACTTGATAATATTTCGCAATACTTAGTATAAAGGGGTCATAAAACGTTCTATTTTAGTTCAATCAAACGATTCCCATACTCCAGTTTTCCTCGTCTCGTTGCCAAGATGTCTTGTGGAACTTTAGCTCCAGTAGCAAAGTGACTAGATCTGAGACCGAAAATTCTTCCCGAAAATGTAGCTACGAGCAGTTCAGACTCTTCTGCAGCTACGCTTCCACCCACTACAGAAGTCACAGGTTCTCCGCAAAACTAAAATAAAACGGCAGAAGTGAGTTTCTTATACCATTAAGCTTATTAAGATATAACTCGTAGGGATCAAATCTTACATAAGTGTATTTAAGTCGAGGTTTTTCACCGAAATTTTCCATATCCACAAGGTAAAGTTGAATGGATCCGTCGTGTCGGCCAACACTTATATGGAAGTTACCATTATTAAAATACCACCCGAGACATACCACGGACCCTAGACCTCGACCATCAACTAGACATTTACTTGATAGCGTCAATCTGAAAAATGGCAGTAACTGCTTGTTGTTATTCTGATCTTAGAAAACTTACTATCTACCCTAAATATAAGGTTATTTAACCCACAGAGTGCCTAGTGCGAGCTTGCTTTACGTTAAGGTGATCAAACCGTTTATGACGTTCAGCGCTCTGGTTGGCTTGCTTTAAATTCAGCAACCAGAGAAGCAGAGGTCAGGAGACGCGGTACCGTTTCGATCAAGTTAAAAAAGTTGTAAAACTAATTCGCACTAGGAACTCAGGTCTATCGTTTGCATAATAAAAATATTGGAAAAACACTTGCTCTTCATATGTAATGATGCCTATGGATCCATCACCAGCTCCGTAGAAAGCTATAATGTCAGTCACATGTGTAGACGGCGGAACAGTAAGACGCGATGGACCCGATGATATCACTGTGCGGGAAATTAGTTTTCCATTTTCTAGTAGAATGGCTCCTTTATTGGCAATTAACACCAGCAGTCGAACTCTTGTACTCTGAAGTAAAGTTTTAAATATATTGGTAAAGTTTTACTTTCGTTTGAATAAGTAAACAAATAAACAATTCTAACATTAGGTACCGCAAATGCTGCTATGTCGAGAACTCTGTCATCACATTCGTACGAGTTATATTCTCGTAAATCTCGATAGTACGTTACTATTCGTCCGCTACAAAGTATCAGATCACTTCCTATAATACACCTGAAATGTAAATACCTTTAAAAAGAAATATTATCATCGACTGTTGTAAACGGTTCCTGAATTTAAAAAAATACCAACTTACATGTTTTTTGTTTAAAAACATTAGATTATCTTCAGTAATTATAATAACTTAGTATGTGGATCAAACAGAGATTTTTTGTGTGGGCATCGAACCCGTAACACATTGTGCGTGAGTCGGTCCTCTACATAGATTTATTGTAGGTCTGTGGTCCTCTAACCACCACGTTAATGTCGAGCAGTCAAATTAATGTAGGTAATTGGGTACCTACCTTATTAGAGAAATTATCAAATCAGAGACATTTTATTAATAGGTAAGTATAGAGGTATGCATGCTAAGTACCTGTATCTTATGATACTTATATAAGTCAATAAAGTGTGGGAGAGCCATGCTTCGGCACGAATGTGTCGGCTCGACCGGAGTGATACCACGGCCTCACAGAAAACCGGCGTGAAATAACCACTGCGTTGTGTTTCGCCGTGTGAGTGAGGTTACCGGAGGTCCAATCCTTCCCCTTCCCCAATCCCTCCTCAATCCCTAAATCTCCAAATCCCTAATCCCTAAAAGGTCGGCAACGCACTCGTAACTCCTCCGTTGCGAGTGTCCATGGGCGGCGCTGATTGCTTACCATCAGGTAATCCGTCTGCTCGTTTGCCGACATATTACATAAAAAAAAAGTATAGGTAGGTAGATACTTGTGCTGTGCACCTGATCCGACTAAATAACTTACATTGATGTAATTGTTTCTGTTAAAGAAGTTTCAATACTTAGAAACACCTTTCCTTTTCTTGTATATCCTTTGACTTCATTGCCGGATGCTGTAAATATCTTATCTGCTTGTGTTCCTGAAATTCAATATTATGTAGTCGGTAACCAGCTTTATGTATCCTATAAACTTAAAAAGCTAGAACATATTCATCATCATCAGCCTATAAGTGCCCACTGCTGAGCAAAGGTCTCTTCTCATACGGAGAAGGTTTGAGCATTAATCACCACGCTTGCTCAATGCGGGTTGGCGATTTCAAACTTATAATTAGAAATTACAAGTCCAGGTTTCCTCACGATGTTTACCTTCACCGTATGTCAGTAGTGTCTAAATAATCATAGAAAGTACATATAACTCGGAAAAAGTCACATTGGTACTTGCCAGGTTTCGACCCCACACTCTCATACATGAGAAGCGGGCTCCTTAACCTCCGGGCCACCACGACCATATTATGTAGCTTATATTAAAACTAAATCATATTTGCAGTGAGTAATCATAGGTAGAAAATACCTACTACCTAAGATTTCCTCGTTTAGTCTCTAACGTAAGGAGGTACATACGTTATGTTTTAGTACGCATTTGCCAGATTGAAACAACTGAAATACCTGTCTACCTAGTGTTAATACCAGTTAATACCTACCTACTCATGTAATTGAAGGTAAGTACCTTTCCTACCAACACACATGCACCTTTCGAGGAAAAGTACACAGGATAGGAACGTACTTAGGTAGGTATAGATGGTCGATCTTGTGAACTAGCTATGTACCATATCGAATAACCCACAAAAATCTTCGATTATTTCGTCATAAACAAAAGAAGATACTTATAACGTACCCAGTGAAGAGGCTAATTGAACAGAAGTTATTGATTTCCCAGGTAATGTTTTAAATTGCACAACCGGCTCTTCATCCTTTATACTGAGACATTGCAAAACTCCGTTTTTGTCTCCAATAGCAAACTGAAATAAATTGATTATTAATAATAGTACGTAGCTTAACAAATTATATTTTTTGCCTAACTCATTATGGGTATTAAAGATACTACCTTTTGTTCCATTTTTTGTCCGGAGGGTGGTAATATTTTTAAAGTATCGGGATAAGTAATACCACATATTCCATAATCTATTCGAGATAAGTCGTAATCCATTTTGTGTCCCCAATTACAGTGACTATTTCCTTTAATAGCAGTTGTACTGTTCTTTCAAAGAAGAGTCTGATTTGTGTATAAAATAAAGTTGATCAATAACACCTAGGTAACGAAACGACCAATAGAACAGGGCATGAAGAAATATAAATATTTAAAGATTTCATATCAAGATTTTTTGGAACTTCTAAATACATGTACCTATAGGTATGAAATGGTGTTTGTAAAAAAAATAAGTCACCGAAACATTATCGTATTCGGTTGTATTATAGTTTTATTTACTCCAAAATTGTATGGTATCTACGACGGCGGCGTCGACCGAGTGATATAGTTCAAGTGTATATAATGAACGACTGTTGTTTTTTATTTTGAACTGATGAATAAAATATAGTACCTCATTTTTTTTAAATAATAATTTCAAGAGCATATGTAATCTGTAAGTATCCGTCAAAAATATTACAATACAAAATAGATTTGTCAATAATGTCAATGTCAAAATTAAAGACGAGTTCGTGTCAAAGAGTCTGAAAGAGTAAAGTAATAAAGGTGTCGTTCGTGCTCTCCAGGTTAGGATCCCAGGATAAACATTCAATTGAAATAAAAATCTTTAAATCACTATGGAGATAGATAAGGAAAATGTTGTACAAGCTGTGGTTATAATGGACACTTTTAACAATCACTTTAGTCCCATTTGTGACAATAAACCTATGGTGAGTAAATTTTTAAAACTATTTCAGAATGCTACTTGCTTCGATTTCAAATTACTTTAAATCTCTAATTTTAATATTTCAGGGATTACTGCAAGTTGCAGGAATACCGTTGATTGATTTTGCACTGGAATCTCTTTCTCATGGTGGAGTAGGAGAAGTGATTTTGTTTTGCTGTAAAGGTGGACAAAAAATTAAAGATTATGTTCGGTATGCATTACGTTTACATCCTGATATTTCTATAACTACCTATTTCATTAATTATATTTTATTTATTTAAAATGGTTTACAGGAGTTGTATTGACAACAAGGCAATATGGAGTGTTACCATGGAAGTCCAAGTGATGATGTCAGATACTTGCCAGACAATGGGAGATGTGATGAGAGAAATTGATGCTGCAGGACTTATCAGGGGATATTTCGTGTTAACTACTGTCAACAGTATATCTAATATACATTTTGGATCTTTGTTGGAGCAACATAAGTAAGTTCAATAATTGCTGTAAATATACAGATTTTCCAAAAGCTGATTCTTTAAATTACAGTAATTAACAGTAATAATTGCATTACAGACAAACATGTAAAAAGGATAAAGGTGCAGCAATGACACTTGTCTACAAAAAAGTGTCATGGGAACATCCTTTGATTGCATCTGATAAGCCTACATTCTTAGCAGCAGATGCAAATACTAAAAAAGTGCTAATGCATCAGAAGTACAAACCAAAATCAACAGAAAAATCTATCAATTTACCTTTGGTAAGAGACTCATGCATTCTATGTCTAATAGCATTCAACAGCCATAGGATTAGTTTTGCGAGTTTAGATTTAAAGTTGCAAAGAAAAATTTATTATTAAAAATAAAATCTCTATAATTATAATTAATTCATACTTTTTGTAAAGGGTGAAATAAGTAACTCCCTCAACAGTGTGAATATTTGTTTGTTTCAGGAAATTGTTTTAAACCATTCTGAGGTGAAATTGCATCATAATTTGGTTGATGCAAGTATAGCTCTGTGCTCACCCTCTGTACCTCCACTATTTTCTGATAATTTTGATTTTCAAACAAGAGATGATTTTATACATGGTATTTTGATAAATGAAGAAATCCTTGCTAGCTCCCTGTACTATACACTTTTAAAGGGAAATCAATATGCTGCAGCTGTTACTAACTGGAAAACTTACCAAACAGTGTGGTAAGGTTTAATATTTTGAAATAAGTATAAGTAAAAAGTGGTTTTTTATAATCTTTAAGAAAGTTTAATTAATATTGTTTCTATTGCAGCCATGATGTATTACACAACTGGACATATCCATTATCCATTGATACTGGTTTGTCTTACCAGAATACCTATTTCGACATGGGGAATCATAATTTTCGCAATAGAAACTCCACATTAAGCAGGTAAACTTTAGAAGAACTTTTTATTATTTTTTGTTTTACATTTAAACAAATTTAATTAATCAATTTATTTATATTTTCAGGTCTAGTTCTATAGTTGAGAATGTTTTAATAGGTTCAAAAACTGTTATAAATGACAATACAGTCGTAACAAAATCTATGATTGGGAAGAAATGTGTTATTGGCAATAATGTAACAATCAAAGGAAGCCACATTATGAACAATGTTGTTATAAAAGATAATTGTAACATTGTGAATAGTTTTATTGATGACAATTGTACAATAGAAGAGAACTCGGTTGTGGAAAATGGTACCATTATAGCATCTAATGTTGTAGTACAAGCAGGCAGTCAACTGAGGGGAAATATTTTGGAAAGCACAGAAGCTGAGAGAGGTTATTGAGTATTTCATTTATCTATCTATCTACTTATTTCTTTTTAAATTATTCTTTGTCTTATATTACCATACTCTTTTACAGAAAAAACTTTAATGAAATCAACATCAGAAAGTACAGAATGGGAAAATGAATCGTCAGGCAGTGGTGGTGATGATTTCATTGGTTTTGAAAAAACCTGGAGTGACAGCGAGTCATGTTACTCATCAGATGGCAGTGATGAGTCTTCCTTGCCTGATTCCCCTATCCCTGAAGATACTAATAGTAAGTTTTGGTTATGCAATTAAAATAATCTATAAATTGTCTGCAATCATTTTGATTTGTTAATATATTTTTATTAGGGGCTTAAGAAATAACTAATATTGTTATTATTCCAGTATTCCTGCAAGAAGTAATTGACAGTTTGGCAAGAGGATATGAAGAAAAACTGAAGAATGATTATCTTATTTTGGAAATTAACTCATCCAGATATGCATACAACATTCAATTGCATGAAGTTAATTTCTTTGTTGTGCGAGCTTTGCTGAGTATTCCTGTTCTTGCTGAAACCAAAAATGTTCTGAGCACTGTCAAAGATATTTTGAAATACTTCAAACCAGTTCTGTCTAATTACATTAAAACTAAATCATCTATCATGGATTGCTTGAGGGCTGTAGAAGTAAGCAATCTTTTTTTGTTTCAGTTACTGTCTTATTGTATTTTGGCACTAGCTTGAAAAGCTATACATATAATTAAATAGTAAATATATAACGCATTAATTAATAGTCTGGTTGTTTAATGGGACAATGTGAAATTGACTTTGTAAAATTATGATTGATTTATAATGATATTATTCCATTGTATTTCAGGATAGTTGTATAAAATGTCAGTGGTTGGAGGGTAAATGTGGGCAAATATTACATTTGCTTTACGAAGCAGATGTTGTTGATGAAGACTCTTTGATAGAATGGCGCCAAGATTTAGAAGAAAATGAGAGTCCCATTGCCAATCAGCCTTCACTTGTCAAGTTTTTCGAATGGATTGAAGAAGCCAGTGAAGAAAGTGATGAATCAGAGTAATTTATGTAAATAAAATATATTATAGTTTATTCTACTAATATCTTTTATTTGGCATCATCAAATCAATAATATCTTGACAATTTACGAAAAAAAAACCTTACATCAAATCTTAATGAAATCAATTGTTATTACATTACAAACTTATTCTTATATATAAATAGAGTATACATTCACCTAGCGTATAGTAGCATATTGTTGAAACTGTACTGTAGAGAAATTTCTGAACTTGTTAATATCAAATGATGTCGGTTCACAAGGTGAATGAATTTTTATCTGCCGCATATGTGTGTCTCTTCCATTTTGATGGTTACTGAGTACAGCTATTTGTATCATGTAGGTTCTTATTGGCCTGTCGTGAATATCCTTAATTGGTATCATTTCCCAACCTGAAAATAATAATATGAAGGTAAAAATTGCAAACAATAATAATGTTGGTACCATATGGTTACAAAATATCCGATATTTTGATATATCTGATATTTTGTTTTGAGTTAATTTTTTAAATGGATTTATGTCATATTTACATTAACCTGATAATTAGATTATTTCATATATTTAATTCATAGTGGATTAATAAGAAGGGTACATTAGTAGTACATACCACTAGGTTCAATTAGCTCAATCACTTCAATTTCTTGCAAATCATTGAAATGTGTTCCTGCTCGTATGGATATTCGGCTAGGCGTATAGCTTTCATCAAGCTTGTAATCTGTGTATATGTAGATATGGGAGACCATTGTTTTCCTTTGAAACTGAATGTTCACCAAGTGAGGTAGCTGACCGTCAGACTGCCAATAAGTTTCCATGCAGTCATCTCTCAACTGATCTATACCAAATCCTGAAAACAAGAATATATATGACAATTTACAGCAAGAAGGGTCAGTAAGTAGCCTTAGGGGCGGATTGCAAATGTTTGGAGAATACTCTATAATTATTATTTAAGTCGAGTATTTATATTAGATACTTTGAAAATTAGCAATTCAAAATAAGAAGTAATTAAAGCAACACATAGCATAGTTTCTTACCTGGTTTACAAGATGATAAACTCCAAATTGCATGATTGCCAACTTCTCGTACGGTTCCCGATCTTTCGCTAACTAGTGGATCTTTTTCAGAAGCCATTGTCTTTCTGATATTGTTAATTTAATTCTTTGATGTTATTATGCTTTTCTAAATATAATAACAAATGTATCAAACCGTTACAGCGTACCTATCTTACATGTTTTATTATGGTTCAACAATCAACATCGTTCGTTTAACGCAGTGACATTTAAAGCAGACGGTTTACTAATTTGACACTGACATATCAGCTAAGTTTAGAAATAGTAAATAGGTAAAGTAGGTATGCAAAGTATAGTTTCTCTTGTACAGTGCTGGTGGATATACCTACGGTGGAGGAAAACTTACGTAGTAGGTATTAATAAGTAACATAAAATAACACATAAACTTGCGAAGCCAAATAGGTGTTACTGTCGGCTCGATCGGTTAGTTAAGTACCTATAATCAGGTAGGTACTGCGAATATCCATGGTCGGCGTTAATTGCTTACCATCAGGTATTCCGTCAGCTCGTTTACCAACATATCACATAAAAAAGAAAAAAACAACCAGCGCATCAGCATCAAAACATAATTATTTTATTTAGGTTCTTCTAAACTTATTTTCAAATTAATTTATTTTAATTATTACGTACGTATACACCTGAAGAAAAACCCATTTGAAAACAAAAAAAGTGCTTCATGTGTCCTTCTATTGGCGATGTAAAGATTCTAACTAGCGCCTCTAGTGTCAAAATTGTGAACCAGGGCAAAAATAAATTATAAATAAAAATCAAATTTAAGTGGCATTTTGCTGCTTAAGGGCTGATTTTTCAATAGTCAGATAAATGTTATCTGGAAGGATTAAATTGTTGCTGTCACTGTCTTATACAAACATTCTGATGCGACAGCATCGTAATTATTCCACAGGTAATTTTTTATCTAACAATTGAAAAATCAGCCCTAACCAGCCTAAGACAATAATTATGCTGTCAATAGTCGATGTTCCTAAAAGTTCTATTGAATGAATACCCGTAAAAGTAAATAAATACATATCACTACTGAGTACATCTGAGAGGGTTAATTGCTCTCTTCCCACATAAGAAGAAAATTATTTGAGTGCTCTTTTCTAATGGTACTTCTTTATCGGAGCTTATTTGAGGAATACTCTGAAACGGTACGACATAAGGAAATAACTTGTACCTTTTAAAATCTGGAAAAGTAACCATAATCTCGTTATCTGACGAGAAACTCGCCTTAGTGTAAACTAAATGAATAACTTATGAAATACTTACATATAAATATAATGGATGTAAAAATAATTAAAATATATTTAATTATACTTTCTGTTTGGAAAAAAGTTTAATGCTTGAAAATGATGAGAACAAACTCTCTATGATGGTGAAATTGGCTTGCCTATTCTTAAAGCAGTCTTCCATTTTTTCTTCATAATTTTGTCTTTTCAGAATAAATAAAAAAATATTCCCGTATCTCCGTAAGTACTACATTGAGGAACGCAACAATATTTCATATTTTTTCTTGTATTAGCTACAGGTTTCCGCATATAATCGTGATCCATCTGAATAATCTAACATAACTTCAACAAATAAACAAACAAAGTGTCTTTCTTAGACAGTTTCCAAATTTCGCCGTTAGAGGCGTGCGGATAATCTTTGCATCACCAATAAATACTTGATTGGAAGCAGACAATTTTATTTTTGTTCGATTTGTTATAAGTAAGTGTATGGTTCCAAAGTTGATTCATTCTGGATCGATGTGCTGTTAAATTCACAACAACTTAAATATTTTACAACGCCGGGTTGCGTACGCGCCACATTGCGCCATCAGACCAAATTTTAGTAGGCGAGAGTCCAACACTCCCTCACGCTCGACAAGGGCGGGAGAACCCATTTGATGATGTTAACTCTTTTAAAATGATGGATTACTAGCTAGGAACTAGGAATTAATGTTTCATCAGTAAGTACCTATGCAGTTAAACAGGGCAGGTCTGTCCGATCCACGTACGACATTCGGAGTGTCTCTGTCTCCTATTGCGGCGGCGGCGCCTGCGTCAGGCGGAAAGTGAGGACGCAATGGCGTGTCTCTATCCAGTTCTTAGAGAGGGGCCTACCGCTGCTACAAGAGCGTTCCCGGCCCTCGGTTGTGACAGAATTATTGCCTCCACTTTGCCATGAGATCAATCCGCCACGGACTTATTTGGTGCGGCGAAGAGTTTCATTTCCAGATCCCATGTCGGGGTTGTGGGTGTAAACGCAATGATGTACCCTGGTCCCGATCCGAAACAGGAGAAGGAACGGGGTGGTTTTTAGTCAGCAAGAGTTTGAACCCCTTTCGCCCCCACTCAGGGCAAGAGTACCTAAGTAGTCATTTGTTTTTCCCCATTAAAAAAAATATCATTATGTACATCTGCAGCTATGAATACATATATAGTAGAATACTTATGTATTTCAAAATGCTACTTGGTTAATAATAAATATTGTAATTAATATTTTCGAACCACTTTAAATCGGCTATACCCGGTGCTAAGGACCTTATTAGCTTTAGTGACCAAGTCACCAAGAAGTTTTGTTATTTGGTAAAGAGGTTATTCCTGTTTAATTGGTCCCAAGTTATACCAGTTACTAGCTCCCCTTAATTCAAAAAGATTTATGCAAATTACTTATTTAGTAGGCGAGGGGGTACTTGGGTAGGTACTTACTACATTATTTTGCAGCAGTAGATAGTACTTAGCAAGATAAGGCGAGTACAATATACTCAGCATAAAATAATAGCACTGCATATTTTTTAGTTTACGTATTTTGGAAAAGACTTAATTAAGAATTTTGTTGAAAAACATTTTAGAGAGATAGAAAGACGCAATATTAAAATTCCTGCAAACATAAAAATTCGTAGTTAGGTAGGTAAGTACTTATAGCTGATTGATCGTTTCAAGAATATTATTTTAGTAAGTATATTACTAAATATACTATCTACCGGCAACGTCTTCGCATGGATGCATTGCTGATACTAAATTTTCTCCACTATGTAGATAATATATGTTATTATTACCTCACTAAATCACTAAATCTATTTAAAAAATCTATTAAGAATTGTAGGTATCAAAACTTTGTTTTATGCTATGTAGTGATGATACTATTTCCGTAACCTTTTCTCTTGTCAGCTAACTAATATCCAATTATGTTGCACAATAAATTAGAGATGGGAACGAGTTGACAAAATTGATAAGTTTATAATTATTGTAGTGGTTAGTGCGGTGCGCTGCGGTCTAATTTGAGTATGGCATGTGGTGCGATGAGCCCGTAACACCGCGGGAATTGTCCACTCGGAGAATCCCAGACGGACACCAAATGTTAACACAGTTCCGGCCATGCACACGGACATTAAGCATTTCATTATCAAAACATAACAGTAACATCAACATTTATGTGTGTAACTACTTAAAATATATTATGAATGTTAGTTCCCACTCTAAACTAATCTATATATTCTAGAAGTCGGTTTAAAAAAAGCAATCGAATATGTTTACGCAAAAAAAAAAACAATAAGGTTGAAGGTTGATTATACGAGTTGACAATTTCAATATTGTTAGACCTATTCTAAGTCATATTTTGTCTATGATACCTTTTTTATGTAAGTGTATAAACTTTTTTAACCAAACTAAATTAAAAAGTGTTAGGTAAAATCGATGACGCTCTCTGACGTTTGTAATAATCTGTGAACACAACAACAAAAATATACAAATCAATTAGACATTTAAATTTGAGTTCATTCATCTTTTTTACATTTTGTTTCAGTTCTTTACAGAATAAGGTTTCGAAATGGTTTTAGGTAAAAAACAAATGGAGCAGCTGACGGCATTTTCTTTGTCGGCAGCAGCTTACGGAGTTGGTTCGTTAATCTCCCTATTATACATCACTGAGTGGAAAGCAGTTTGCAAATACATACCTTTTTTCAATGGAGCTGAAAAGTTTCAGGATCCTAAACCCAAACCAAAACCTTAACTATGAAGCAGTCAAAAACAACAGCCCAGGACAGGTGACGGAGTTATACAATGTATTAAATAAACTAGTTGTAATTCAAATTCAAAGAGGGCAAGCAAGGAGCACGCGCCCGATAGAACACAAAGTAATCTGAAAAAGAATGGAATTATTATAATGACTGGTGTTAGCATCAGGTGTGCTCGGATTTGTAATAAAATGTCAACCGGATCGTGCGCAGCCGGCGGTGGCGCACGCGCAGCTGTCGGCCCTCCTCCGGGCCTCCAGTGAGGTGTGCCCTCCGAATAAACATTACCTCTTTTGTATTGTATTGTAATACTTTTTTTGGTATTCAACCATTTTCACGGAACGATCAAATAAAAAAGATTACTAACAATATTTTTAGTATATTTTATTTTATAAGACCCTGCTTAGGTAGCAATGTATGCATACGTAGACAGTAGTAGGTACCTATATATAGTGCTCAATGAATATTTGTAAAACTTGTCTTAAATATTATACACAGTACACTTAAGCACATACGCAATTTTACATGTTTGTGAATATATCAATTTTGAAGTTACGATTACGACTTATACATTTCTAATTATAAGTTTGAAATCGACAATCTGCCTTGAACAAACGTGGTGATTAATACTCAAACCTTCATTGTGAGAAGAGGCCTTTGCTCGGCAGTGGCTGATGATGATGATGTGAAATGGAAAGTGTAATGTAATTGGACGATGGATGTTATATATTATATTTATATTTTTTTTAAAAACTTTGCCCCACTCTAGGATTTTCTCCTGAGTCGTGGGTGCGTTTACAAACTTACAAATTCACATACACAATACACCCAGACCCGAAACAACAATTTGAGGATCACACAAAGTGTTGTTCCATGCGGGAATCGAAGCCGCGACACGTTGCACAGCAGACAGTTACCCAGCCACTGCGCCAACCGTGCAGTCAGGCGATCAGTGGGCGAGTATCTGCGAACAGACGTGGCAAAAAAGGAAAATGAGAAACAATTTTGAAGGATTATGTTTTAAATATTTTTTTTTATTTATAATGCTAAAATCATTATCA